CTGGGCCAGGGCATCATGAGGCTGGGAGGCGCGCGAGCTAAAGCGGAACAGCTGCTTGTGCAACTCCCCTCTCCAGCCGTGCAGAGCGCCATTCACTGACCTAGGGGTATCGCCAAGCCGCGTGAGTTCCTGTTCACCTTAGCCTGGCTCCTGTGGCTTGGCACCTTCGAAATGCCTCTAGGTCAGTGAATGGCGCTCTGCACGGCTGGAGAGGGGAGTTGCACAAGCAGCTGTTCCGCTTTAGCTCGCGCGCCTCCCAGCCTCATGATGCCCTGGCCCAGCTTTCCCTGCAGAGCCAGAGCATCTCCGCTACCGCCACCATTCCAGCGTGGCTTTTTCGGTGGCTTCCAAACTGAGTGTCCCACAGTGGCCGCTCTGGGCATACGCTCTATGGTTGTACGCTCTGGGAGTATGCTCTACCGGCAGCTGACTCTCAACCATAGAGCGTACGCCCAGAGCGGCCATTGCCAGAAGCCTCAGTTTGGAAGCTGCCGAAAAAGCCATGCTGGGATGGCGGCAGCAGAGGTGCTCTGGCTCTGTGGGGAGAGCTGGGCGAGGGCATCGTGATGCTGGGAGGTGCATGAGCGAAAGTGGAACAGCTGCTTGCGCAACCCCCCTCCAGCCATGCAGAGTGCCATTCACTGGCATTTCGAAGGCGCCAAGCCGCGGGAGCCGGGCGGCAACGAACAGACACTCACGCAGCTTGGAGATACCCCTAGGCCAGTGAATGGTACTGTGCCTGGCTGGAAAGGGGATTTGCCGGGCGGCTGCTTGTGAGTGTGGTCATCTCATGGCTGTTGTGTTGCGCTGCTGCGACAGCACAACACAGCCGTTCGCCCCCGAGGCTGTGCCCGGCTCTTTGGGAGCCCATTTGCAAGAGAGCAGCTGCCCGGCAACCCCAAAACAATAAACCCTCCCCTGATAATAAGGCCCAAGCCATATTTTGTGGGTAAAAAGAAAATAAGACCGTGTCTTATTATTGGGGAAACACGGTAAGTAAAGCCAGGAGATTAAAAAAAGGACTGAAATTGCAGGAGGAAGTGGCATTAGGACTTCATAGAATCTGCTAACTATTATCTCTTTTGGCTTCCCAGAAAACAAAAAGGGCTTAATAAGGGGATGTATCTGCCATACACCCTTCCTCTTCAGAAGGGCTGACTTGGAATATAGTGTCTTGCTAGCGCAAATTCCTTTATACCTTCAACAGGTGTTTGTGGCTCTGGTGATAACACTGACCACTTCTGTGGTGGGCATAGTGTACATTTGCCTCCTTCCAATGATTCTCCAGACCTATCCCATTCCCTGGATCTTCTGGCATATTGTCTATGGCCATTGGAACCTTGTCATGATTGTTTTCCATTACTACATGGCTATAACTACTCAGCCTGGTTATCCACCACAGGTAGGACTGAGGCTTTAATATTTATATTTGGACTTATTTTATTATTTAATCTTTCTTTAGATTCATAAGCAGGACTGCTCAGCATGGTTTCCAGCCTTTTTTCTGCCTACCTGGGTTCACACAACTTACTGAACTATCCTCCAGCCAAACACATTTCAGCCTTATGTATTCTGCAAACCATATGGTTAATTTATGATTCAGTGTGTTGTGTAAATCCAGAACATTGGGCTCAGTTAACTATGGGTAAATATATTGTGAAAATCTGACCACTAGTCATTTTACTATGAAATATCATGGACCAAAATCAGCTGGAGTTGTTTACATGCTGTGAACAACAACCGCCCCCCCAAAAAAAGAGTATGCCAAGGTTCAGAAACACTGACCCAGAACTTCTGATCGTTAGCTTTGATAAGAATGAAAAGGCAATATCTTTTCTACTCAACAATACTTACCCAAGTATTTTTAGCCAAAAGTCTAAGAAGCTATGCTCCACCATGCTCAGAAATGCTGCTTTTCCCTTCCTACAGCACCCAAAGAATGATCTTGCTGCTGTGTCAATATGCAGAAAATGTATTGCCCCCAAACCTGCCCGGACCCACCACTGTAGCATCTGCAACAGGTGAGCCATCATTGTGTCAAATCTGCATTTCATTTCTTTCATTCTTCCCTGCCATCTGTCCTTTTTTTTGTGGGGGGGGTGGGGGGGTGTCATCCTTGTTTTTTGAGAACCTTGGAAAAAACTCTACTCTTGGCCTCTTTTGTTGCAAGGCACACAGCGACCCCATATGAGGTTCTGCAAGTTTAATTTCTTGCTGTTTCCTCTCAACGTATGGAAATTATTAATTAGATTTATTTCTGCAAATCTGTGAACATGAAATATGAGGCATACAACTCTCGTCTAGCAGTTCTTAGGAATCTGTTAGTCTTCATTCTGATTGCTAATTTTCCTTCAGTATATTCCTGCGTTATATTTTAATAAACTGCTCAGATAGTTGACTTAGAATAATACGTGAGCACCAATGCATGCATTTATATGGTGCAAAGTTTCTCTGAGGTAGACGCGAAGTGTTAATGGTGGCATTTTTTAATCTCATAATTGCCTCAGCAGTAGGACTGACTGGCTTAAGCTGTGGGCTTTTGTTCTGTTGTACAAGTCTAATTTTAGAAGATAGTATTTGTAGCTCAGGGTTGAATTGTGGAGTCCTGACTGTTCACTGAGCTTGAGTGTTTTCTTGCAGACGTTTCATTATCCAGCTAAGTCACATCATAAGCACAGTCTAATGTTCCCTGTATTGTGTTTCAGCTGCATTATAAAAGTTTCGGATAATTTTTTTCCAAAGGAAAATTTGGACTGACACATAAAGCAGGGTTGTTTGTAAGAAGGGAAAAAATTGCACAAACCTGATAGGTTCCTATGTATTGATCTTGTATAAGGTCTGTTACTGCTGGGATTACAAATAGATTCTAGCTATAAATCTAAATCTACTTCTCTTCCTCTTGGTGAATTTGAATTTTTTGCATTCTTCAGCAATTAAAAAATATTTAATTTCATCACCTAAAGCAATAAAGACCAAACATTTGCTTTCAGTTTTTAGAAATGAAAGTTAGCCTTTTCAAATAGCTAACACTGTACATTTTATTGTGATTATGCATCTGTAGAGTACACAGTCTTATCTTTGGGCACAGAACATTAGCTTCTTTAATATTAATAATTATGAAGTAATCAATAAAAATACATACTTTGTTTTTAATCATAATATGCCAGCTGCACTGATTTCCAATTTGCTTCTGGGTGCAATTTAAGGTGCTGGCTGTTATCTATAAAGCCTGTATGGCACAGGGCAGGGTTACTTGAAGGACTGGCTGTGTTCTACCACTGCTGCCTGGTTAGTTCAATCCTGAAGTTGGTGTGTTCCTAGTTTCCTTGAGATTGTTTCTCGGGGCCTGAGAAGGAAGACTTTTCAATAGCAGCAACTGCACTCTGGAAGAGGTTCCCCCCAAGATTTGGATGACCCCAATTCTGCTGTTTAGAAGAGCCATGAAGATCTGGTTCTTTACCCAGGCAGAGTGAGACTTCTGACCACCACACTTGCCATTTTTTAAAATCTTTTTTTTCCATTTTCTTGATTTTATTATAATTTCTGTGATTGTTACAAGCCAATCAAAGGTATTGAGAGTAGGATAGCACACAAGCTTAATACATTATTATTCCCAAGACTGGGAAATGATGTTCATGGTCCATTAGGTCTCATATTAAAGGTAATATGCAACTCAGCCGCTGGTTTATTTTGTTTTGACCTCTATGGTTGAACTGTTCCTTTGTTAATAGTTATGCTGCATATCAACAACCCTTCTGTGATTAAAATTAATGCCGTTTCCCTCTCACAGGTGTGTGTTGAAGATGGACCATCACTGCCGTATCCTTTTGCAGGTCTATAATAGGACTAAGGGTAAAAGATCAGGTTCAGATGGATTGTTTGTTGAAGAAATCTAAGTGATTCTGTTCCCATAAACAGAAAGAAAATAATTGTCCAAAGCAAGTGATTTATGGCATGCATCAGGAAAACGTTTGACGGCTTCTCTGTTTAACACAAGTGGTTCACATTGAAGGTACAAAAGAATGCTGTGGGAATTAGGTGTGAGCAGCGTTTGTAGGCTGGGCTGTTGTAAATGGGAAAAGGTTGGCTTTCTCCCTGGAGTTAAAGATCTTTAACCTAAAGAGACAGCATGGCTTAACAACTGTGTGGGACACTACAATCATCGCTATTTCTTCTCCTTCATGCTTTTCATGACCATGGGCTGCATCTACAGCAGTATCAGTGGCTGGGACATGTTCTGGGAAGCTTATGCTGCCATTGAGGTGAGCACAGGAGGCAGACTGTTTTCTTTAGGGGAAAGGCCTTGAAACCTGCAGAGGTGCTGCCCTATGCAGCAGGGGTACGTATAGGCCAAGAATTAAACGAGGGTAACTGGTGGCCTTTTTTCCATCCGATAGAAAATGAAACTACTTGACAAGGAGAAACTGCACGTGACAGCCAATCAGGTGGGGTATCTGCTCATCAGCTGCTCAAGTCAAAGCAGGACAGGGCATATAATGGGAGTTTAGTTTCATTTTAGTTCCATTCTGATTTTACAAAAGTGATTGTCACAACAATTCACTTTTTATTTCCTGGGCAGACACACCTTCCATTCTTCCTCACAAGGGAGCTATGGAACACCATTCAACTGGCATTTTGTCCCTACACATGGAGGGAATATTTCCCAAACCAGATGTTTTGTCTGCTTTTGAAAGACAAATGCTAATGGGGAGTAAGGAAACTGTGTCCAGGGTCCCAGTGCTCTGCCCATCTCTCTCATGACCATAGTCTTTGTGTCTTAAAAATATACCAGGCTTGCTTGTTGTGCTTTCCATTTCATTTGTTCGTCCTAGAAAGCCCTTGGCAGCTTCTGGCTTGGGCCACTGCTTTCTCTTCCCTGCATTCTTACTTCCAATTGTGGCAACATCTGCTCTTACTTGCAGACTTACTCCCAGACACCACCACCCACCTTTTCCTTCCGCCAGCGAGCTTTCCACAAGAGCATAGTGTACGCCTGGGTCCTCTGCAGGTAACTGATCTAGTTCTTTGGTGGAAAGAGGTGGGAGGGAAAAAAACTACTTCAAGAAATTTTCAGAGTGCTTCCAAGTCAATCTTGGAGTATCCCAGTTTGCATGGTCCTCCAGAGGTATTCCTCTCAGCACAGTTCAACATCCTTGTTTTTTAAACTGTTTCTCTCAGTTCAGTAGCCTTGGCATTGGGTGCCCTCATGCTCTGGCATTCAGCCCTCATCACCCGTGGTGAGACCAGCATCGAACGACACATCAATCGCAAAGAAAAAAAGAGGCTACAGAAAAAGAGCAAGGTAAAGGAAGAGACTGAATTTCCAAAAGGGAGAAAGAAAAAGGGGGACAGACCCACTCAGCTGCAGACCAAAAGTTATTTTTAGCATGCCTAGCATGTCTCTTAAAACCTACAAATCTTTTAGATTTGCCTGTTTTTAACTTTCCTGTCTTTTAGAAACGCAAGGCATTTTTTACACTGCAGTTCATCATAGCTTTAAATTTTATGCTACTTTATTTGGGTTATTTTAACACATTTAGAAGTCTATATACGCATCATCATCATCTAGTAAAGGGTTTAACCGTTTTTCCCCTCAGTTGATTGTTTCTGTGATTTTTGATGGTCTCCCCTATAAGGTCTGTGTATCACAGATAAACTATAGGCCTTTCTTTACTAGCAATTTAGAATTTATCAAGTAGCTCAGATAGAGGGAATTTTGAGGACAAACTTTTCAAGAGCATTTTCTTTTACTATGGTTGACACTTCTAACAGAAAAATTCAATGCCAATTACCATGAGCTTGCTTTATTGTATATTTTAAAGTTGCATTGTATGCAGTTTTATTGTTAAATATCTGAAGTCCTTGCCAATCACACTGAAATACATGCAAACCTTTTCTCCTCTAGAGGAAGAATGCTTGAGTTAGAATCAAAATAATTGAATTGCATTTCATTCCCCTTTTCTCTTGGCTCTAGATATTTCGAAATCCATACAGCTTTGGTCCACTGGGCAACTGGAAGGTTTTCCTGGGTGTCGAAAGACAGAGGTAACAGATATGCATGTACTACATAGCATGGATGCTCCAGATGAGGAAATAAATTATCATAACTGGAATTACTTAGACTCATAATATATGACTATTCTAAGTACCTGGCAATTAGAAAATGCTAACAGAAGCACTATTAAAACAGACTTCCATGTCTTCCTGCACTACAGGAAGTTCTTGATTTACAACCACAATTGGCACCAAAATTTTGGTCAAAAGTCAAGATGCCATGTTTCCAGTTTATTTTATGACTGTTTTTATGATGGTCAAGCAAGTCGCCACATTCCTTAAGCAAACCATGTGGTCATTAAGTGTGAACCCATTTTATTTACTGGGTGCTTTTTGCTGGAAAATGGAAAACAAAGTTGCTAATGATCACATGATATGGAATGCCACAACCCAGTATAAATGTGAGCTGGTTGCCAAGCAATCAAAATGTGATCATGTGACCACAGGGGTGGGATGGCAACCATAACTTCAAGAATGGGTCATGAATACAGTACCTTTTGAATGTATTATAACTTCAAACGCTCATTAACCAGTCATAAATTGAGGACTACTTGTACACATTTCTTACTGAAGCCTTGTTCTTTTTCCCAGACACTGGCTCACTCGAGTTCTACTACCTTCCCCACATCCCCCTTATGGATCTGGCTTGAGTTGGGAAACTCCTCCTTATGTTGCTCAACAGAAGTTGCCACTTTTGGCGATTTGAGATGGATGAAGAAGAAAGTGTCCCAGCCGGTGGAAGACCTGAAACCACAGGCTTCTTTCATTGGAAAGCATAACAGAATACATGGTCCCTAAACTGGCAGGCTAACATCACAGTGGCATATCTGCAATGAACTGCTCATCCCACAGGAGACTGGAGAACATCCAGCTGCAGTCGGGGATTTATTGCCTGTGTCTGTTTTGTTTTGCACACAGTCCAATGGGGCTGGAGCAAAGTATTGTCAGTTTTGAAGAGGGAGCAAGTAGTTCTTTCTTGTAAGGACAGATTTTTTATCATAAAAATAAATATAAAAAACAACCATCTCCTCTTTAGTGGGAAAAGGAGCAGTGAAAAGATTGAATACAAACTGTTGATTCATAACTAACAGCAGTAGACTTTTTTTAAAAAATATATAGTAATTATTTACTTTTAATACTGATTTCTGATTCAATGGTTATTTCAAGCAACAAGCAGTATTGAAACTAAACAACATGTCCATTACCAATCTCTATCCAGGCTATATTCAACAAGTTATTTTTCCAGTCGATGGGACAAATTAATGTTTCAACAGCTACAATTCAGCTGCAGCTCTAGAACATAGATGGTTTATTTCTATAACACACTTAACAAGGTTATTTAAAGAGACAGGAGTCTAGAGTTATCTCTTCCCCAACAGGCAGAAATCTGTACTGGGTTTGACCTAGTTAAACCTTCACCGATATAATACACTAATAATGAGAACATGGCATGATTGGCTAGTAACTCTTTTTGTAGCAAAAAATCCCCCCTCCCTTAGCCAGAGTGGCCTTGCCTTTCGCCATCTATTTATCAATAAAGCACCAGATAAGCTGTTATGCAGAGTATTGAAACTAAATAGTCAAGCATTTAAGCCTGGAACCCCACAGTTTATTAAATGTTTATGTTCAATGAACAGAACATCCGAAATTTATTTTATGTAAACAAAAAAGGTGAAATGGTGTGGCCTTTAAACAGAACTTTTCAGCAGTCCTTCCCTGCCTTATATTCCAACAACTTTTACTCTTGTGAAGTGTAGCTTTTTCCTAATATTCACAGTAGTATAAACTACCATGATTACTGTGCAGTGATCTATTCTTACCCACTTTCTGTTGCAATTCTGCTATATTCATTAATGAGATTTCCTTTGACATTACTAAATCAAGGAAACCTTGTTTTTTTACAGTGTCTTTTACATCAGGGGAGCATCCCACTGTTAAAGCTTTTCAAAATTAGATTGAAAAGGAAATGCTTCACAAAAATCTAGGTGGAATACTATTCATACGTTCTAAAAACAGCACTAATAAAGAATATAAGGTATTAGATGTTGCCAAATTTACATCTAAACAACAGTTTCATCCTGACATTCTAAACACTTAACTAGCTTCAAACTGTTCAAATCAGCATGGTGGATGATATTATGCCCACATCTCCCTTACCATCATCTCTGCTTCATTTCAATTATTTTAGGAAAGTTTTATTAAAATAAATGCGAGACTAGTTTACAGCAAAGAACCAGCCTTCACTATTTTTATTTCCAATATCATTTTTCAGCTCCAAAAGTATTCTTAGAGAATAAAAACAATGAGTAGTTTCAGCCCAGCACTTTTGTTTCCCGAAGTATCCAACTTCTTCCCCCCCCCCCCCTTCAAAGATAAGCAGGGACAGCAAGTGGCAACCTATAGCTGGTAAATTGGTGTTTTATAGAATATCACATTCCTGTTGTCAACCATATTATAACATACTCTCAGCACTCTAAATGAGCCTTACTTCTGCTTTCACCAGTTTATATTTTCTCAAACATATATATGTATACCCAAGATAGCTAAACAACTGTCTAAATAACCCTTTCCATAGTTCGTGTCATTTGTATTTAGAGTGATTCTGAATTTTATAATTATCCCAAATTGTAATAATTTATTTTGCTGATGACTACACGTGTTTCATGTGTGCAAAATTATTATAAATGAAAATTGTTTGAATTCCTCTAGTAGACATTAGCTATGGTTTATAGTGGTTAATTTTTATACCGCTAAATGAGGAATATAAGAATGTAGTACTCCAACAACATGATGAAGACTAGCAGAACTGAACTTGCTATGCTCAGTTCAATGTTTTTCTCTTAAGAAGCATCTTCTCCAGAAGCTTTCAACAAATGGGTTATTTATCTAACCCCATCTATTGCACGCAGGAGATTCTGCTACCTCTGCCATACTGCACTGCAGTAAAAAGTGAGGCTTGAGGGTTGCATCCACTGTGGTTAGGATTCCAGCAGCCTATAGAAAATGCAGTCCACCCCTAAAAAGGAAGGAAACTCCTCCGTTTTTGTCCAAAGTTTTGCTGAACTTCTAATAAAAGTGGTCCAAGGCAAACGGACAAAAGATTGTCAGTCAGGATTCACAGTGAGACGTTTCACCTGCCAGGTGTCCCAAGCAGAAACCTGTAATAAATAGATGACAGATTTAGATGAGAAAAGGAAAGGATACACACTGCAAACCATGCTTTCCAAAGCTTATTATCAAAGTCAAATTATTCAGGGCCATTTAAGGATTGTATGACTAGTTTCTTACAGAAGCTTTTTAAACAGCTGATATCAAGGAGATCTAGTTGATCAGGGCTGCTATTAAAAATTAAAGAAACAGTACTATGTAAACCTTCTTACCATTCTCCTCGTGCTATGACAGCTTCTTTACGTACAAGGCGCTTCTTGTCATCCAAAGGCTTGGCCAATGCTCGAATGACTCGTGGCTTGAATGGGATCACCTGTCAAGAATTGGAAAGCAGCCCTTTAATGAGGACTCAACTAAAGCCCCACTTATAAACCAATGAGGGAAATGAACTGCCAAATTACCAGCCACAAGTGCTTTCACTACTTACCACTGGGGTAGGTAAGGAGGCAAGTGCATGGAGGCACTGAAGTGCAGCAATACGGATTGCCTGCAACACATAAAAGGCAGGAAATTAAGCTTCTTCCAGATAGAAAAGGAGAAAATAATCTGAGAAAGGAAATACCACTCTCCTCACCATGGCAGAATTGTCTGTTAGGTTAAGAAACTTGCCCACAAGGGTGTCGATGTGGAGATGCATAACATGAGGTGCATCAAGTAGCAATGGCTGTACGCAGCGTAAAGTTGAAAGCTGCACCACATGGTCAGAACATGACAGAGACTCTAGCAACAGAGGCAGCAACTGTGGAAATGGGCAAAGAAGAAAAAAAAGGGCCACATTTCCTTTATTATTATACACGCGGATTTAAGGAACCCCCAACAGGTAGAGAACCTTGGCCCTCGTTTCATACTCACTGTAGGCAGCTCTGTTACTAGCACTGGCTTGGGCAAGTGATTTAATATGTGAGACAGGCCCTTCAGGTAATTTGGTTTCACATCTGGAAGAAAAAAGGTTTTTTTAAAGTTAAGGTTTTTTTTTCTAGAAAAATATCACCGCAACATCCATTTGCAATAGATTCCAACAGCCACAGATCGAGGCCCATAGTGAAAACACTTGTGGGCAGTGAAGAGAAAGCCAAGTCATTCTTCTATTTCTCAATACTTTCTCTAATCATGGAGCTGGACAATTAAGGCTGAAAATTCTCCTGTCTGGCCCTCAAGCAATAATAGAAAGTCCAAACCTTGCAAGAAATAAATAAAGCAGGAAAGAGCATAACGTTCTTTTTCTCCTATGGAGAGAATATACTGCCCAGGAAAGGCTCTTTAATGAAACATAAAATTTCTTACCAGGAGTAGATGTGTGGAAATGTTGCACCAACTGGGGCACACAATCAGTGAAGAAATGCTGGCGGAACATGAGACGCACCTCAGCATGACAGCTCTTGCCCAATACATCAGTAGAATCAGCCATGAGCAAAGCAAAGCCATCGCCCACTGCAGGGCCAAGAACAGTGTCCCCCAAGAGTTGGAGTAGCTGTAGAGCAAACAACGGCAGGACATGTTTAAGGAAGAGGTCAAAGAGCCGAGGTGGCGCAGTGGGTAGAGTGCAGTACTGCAGGCCACTTCAGCTGACTGCTAGTTCAGCAGTTCAAATCTCACTGGCTCAGGGTTGACTCAGCCTTCCATCCTTCCAAGGTGGGTAAAATGAGGACCCAGATTGTGGGGGCAATATGCTGACTCTGTAAACCGCTTAGAGAGGGCTAAAAGCCCTATGAAGCGGTATATAAGTCTAACTGCTATTGCTATTGCTATTAGGCCTTTATGAGAATCCCAGCTTTTCTCTAGAGCTCACCTTGTCAGTCAGCTGTGTGATTAATGGGTGGTAGCGTAGCAACAACGCTTTACTCACCTGCAAGGACAAAAAAATACAATAAACTCTGAAATTAGCATGGAGGAAGGATGAGTGTGCATACAACATTATGCAAACTTACCCACAACAGCAGAGTAAGGGCCTGGCGTTGATAGGGACCTTCATTCAAGCCTTGTTCCAACATTTTCATGGCCATTTCCAAGAGCTGATCTAAGTGTGGCCCTGTAAAGAGTAGAAACATAATGAGCAACTGTTACACCTGTATTACATTTTTTCTAACAGTTAAACTGAGTAATACGTAGCACAATCCAGTCTTACGGTTTCAGTAGCATGAGAATATTACTCTAATTCTATGGCTTTCATTTATTACCTTCTGGGTATTTGTTAATCAGTCCTGCAAAGCATTTGGCAGCGGCAGTAGCAGTGAATGGGCAGTCACAGGAACAGCTAAGAGCTAGTAGCTCACGCAGCAACCGATCCTGCTGAGGAATTGCCACCTGCAAGGAAAGCAGACACTGAAGAAGAAGGAAGGTAACAGAAAACTTCTCACAGGCACACTGGCTTCTCACCTTGGCATCACATAGTGCAGATCTACTCTCAAGTAAATTTCCAAATATTTCTGACCTACGATATCCACAATCCTCACCACCAGCAATGTTGATTAGAATGATGGAAGTTGATGTGTGGATGTTTTTGAAAGACCATAAATCATCCCATCCCATTCTCTAAAACTCCACTGAAAATTCTCCCCAGGACTCACTGTTCTTGGCAGTGAACATACAAAGGCCATAAGGAGAGCAACCAGTCTTCTTGGGGCTGCCACCGGACATGGTCCATCCTATAGAAAAGACAACATTTTTACTATGCAGGCTATCCAGAACTTTTCCATACACAGCGAGCCATTTTGGTGTAGTGCTTAAGGTGACTAGAAACCAGGAGATCATGAGTTCTAGTCCTCCCTTAGGCACAGAAGTTGGTTGGGTGATTCTGAGACTGTCACTTGCTCTCAGCTCAACTCACTTCAAGGAATTGGTGATATGGGGAAAATAGAAGGAGGAAGTCCTAAGTACACCACCTTGAATTGCATCAAATAAATAGCTGGCAGAGATTGCTCAAATACCTGAAAGGGATGAAAAGGGCTAGGATAGTTGTTTCCAGGCAAGAAGGAAAGTTCTCCATCCAGGAAGAGAGGTACCACTTTGGACACACTCTGGGCAGCCAACCTGCCATGATATAACAATTGACATTATATTAATACAGAGAAATGTCAAGAGAATAGTGAAAGAGATTACCAACACCTCTCCTAATCTTGGATTTACGTCAAGCACAAACCCAGTCTTATTCAAATATTAAATTGTACAGCACTAGAAACCGCAGGAAGGAACCTGTTACTCACTCTGGGCTTAAGTGCATGCAGGCTGCACTGATGACTAACACTATGGATGATAAAGCCTCTTCTGTTAGCAGAACTTTGTCAAGTGTTGTTTGAGAATTTTCTGAAAGTGGTAATAGAAATTGAGATGTTAGTTCTTATTAGTTCTTTTCAGGGGTCCTTCCAATGTATTGCCTATTAATGGCTGTTTCACAGAGAAGAAATTGTAAGACAAGAAGCAGCTCTAAACAGATGAAGGAGGAATAAAAGCCAGCCAACATATAAATTTAAACACACAAAACTTTATCTCTCTTCTTGCTCAGAACTCAGAAGTACGAAGACATATAATATCATTAGTCAATCTAGGACTGGAAAAAAGAACAGTCCAACCTTAACTACAGGTACTGCTAAAATTTAGTTGAGAGGGTGTAAAAGAGTGAGTATTTCTGCCATCCTACCTTCCAAAGCAGCTTGTACTGCTAAGCCTAGCAAACAGGGCACCACCGCCTGATGGAAATACCAGTATGTCTGAGCATTTTGTTGGCACTGAAGGGCGACCTGTTGCAAGCTGTGGCACACAGATACCACTGAATTATTATTTGCTGGCCTTTTACCTGCAAAAACAAGAGCAATTTTAAAACCCACAACTCATAGTATTATTAAAAGAACTAGTACTTATTGATAATTTATGTATTTGAAAAATGATCACTACATTGTCTGTGGTTGAATTATCACACTGTGGCATAATTATTAAAAGTACATTATTTGCAAAGTGATTCCACATGCAATCATTTTGCTCCTGTCCATTGCAAGTGAGCAACCAAACCAGAAAGCCTATAATTTCTATAAAATGAATCTGCTCAAAACAGTAGATTCTAAATTTGTACTGACCTCAAAACCAAACTTTCAAAACAGATTTGTTTTATTTCATACTTCCATTGTTATACTACCATTTGGAGGCTGGAATATTTCATTTTCTTTTCTTTTTTTCTTTTTCATATTTTATTTCCCCTCTATTGTATTTCATTTGGATTTCATCATTCTTAATCCTCTTATTTTACTCATGACTATTATTTTTTGAGTTTTGTTATCTTCCTTCATTGATT